GGAACCTCTTCTAACCGGTTCAGTAGATTTGACGAACCGGTTCTACCGAAAAGGTGCGAACTGGAAAATAGTAACCCACCAGAAAACAATGGCGAAAGCCAGTTTGTGGTGAAAGTATCTGGCTAGAAACTGGAAGACCAAGTTCCAGTTCCACTTGAGGCACCAAATCAGTTAGATGGTCTTGGGCCAGTCCCTCTCTTTCAGCCCTAGGATACAAGCAATGGCGAACCACTTTCAAAATAAACCTTGCCAAGAAAACTGCCAGGACTAGTTCAGCGATGGCTAAACTTTTTGTTCCTTGTCTGACGAAAGCCTGCATGTGCAACTATGGCGTGTGGCAGACATCCCACGGGCACGCCGCCCCCCCTGCACAATGACCTAGCTTTGGGTCTAGTAGGCCTCCCTGAAGCCTCCTGAAACCAAAAATGGGGTGCAGGGGTGCCCCACCCCTCCCCCCTGCGCATGCATGGGCATCTTCCGCATGTGCGGCAGAGACCCCAAAATTAGCTGGCTGGTGGGAGGTGCGCGCGCATACACGGTGGAGCTGAGCTGGGCGACGACTCGCGTGCCCGCATAGAGAGCTCTGCATGCCACCTGTGCCATGCGTTGCCACGGGTTTGCCATCACGGGACTAGTTCAAGAAATCCCCAGGAGGTTAAAACAACAACAGAACAAAGCCCCTTGTGGGTGCCAAAAGTGCCAAAAAAGAATACAAATAAAAATCTAGATTAAACTTCAACTCTGGGGAATTCTGGGTTTGAAAAACACTGGCCTATAGCGGAGGTCTCCAAATTTGGCAACTTTGAAGACTTGTGGACTTCAACTCCCAGAATTCCTTAGCCAGGCATGTGGATTGGGGAATTCTGGGAGTTGAAGGAAGGAAGAAGCAGAGATTGCATTGCCCAGGCTCATAGATACATTATCTCACATTTTGTCAGTGTTAAAGAATTTATGAACGGGAATAGCCATAACAACAAGTCAGCCAATGGGAACTGTTTGGTGACTGAGACACAGGATTCGCTGTGAGCCATACGAGACAGCTTGGAGCCTGGGCGTGGCTTAGCTTAACTGGTCTGTGTATATAAGAGTTTGTTTGTCTTTACTTGAGGGTCCTTGCTTCTACTTCTTGTCCCTGCACTTGCTACTTCTTCTTCTGCCTACCACGTTGCAAGAGCTGCATGGGTAGTGTATACATGCACCATGTTTTATATTATTGTATAGCAGTTAGACTTATATACCGCTTCATAGGGCTTTCAGCCCTCTCTAAGCGGTTTACAGAGTCAGCATATTGCCCCCAACAACAATCCGGGT